AAATCGCACTTTTGGTCCCTCAATTAGTGCCTCATATGCAATGTGATCCTCACTTCCCTATTTCGACATAATTGGGCCCTCAATTATTTTCCCGTTAGTCAAGTTAGTCCTTATGTGAACGGTGTTAAATGGATTAGCTCACATAAGGACTAAATTGACTAACGATGGAATAATTGAGGGACCAATTCTGTCCAAATTGGAAAGTGAGGATCATATTGCATATGTAGCACTAATTGAGGGACCAAAAGTGCAATTTCCCCTCGTATGTATCATTAATGTATTCACCTAATAACCCAATAGGGTAACTCAAGCTCTCTTTGTGTGGAAGAATTCTGAAATAATTCAGGTTCGATTCCCACAAGTGACAATTCTCTTTGACCCAACTCCTGTGCCTCTCGGAGCGAACCGGGTGGACCTAAACCGTTAAACGGACGGAGAAAGATCCAGACCACATTGTGATTTACACCCAAAAAAAAGAAAAAAAAAATGTATTCACCTAATTAAAAATCATGACAAGTAGTTTTACTACTGTAATCAAGTACTCATCATATAAAAATAAAAGAAAATGCTTCTTTCCCTGTATGTTTTTACCTCCTAAAATCCCTCCTTAATATTACTCAATTAAAGGGACCACTAAATAACATAATATTGAATTGTCAAAGCATTTTCATTAGTGAAAATAATAATTTAGCTTTTTCCAACTCAAGCGGTAAAAGAAATGCAGTCAAAAGTGGAGGGGTGTCGAGCATTAATCAAAAATAAATTTATTAAAAAACAAAACAATATACATGAAGTGGATTGATTAAAAGAAAATCTCAAGCCAACCTCTCAAATCGTAGGATCCATCAAAACAGTTTCATACAGGGATCAATATGAATATGGGGACTAGAAACTGAGAAAAGAAAATTCATAGGTTTGTCCAACCACCTAGAATTATTGTGTCAAAAACACCTAATAAATAAATTGTTTCAAAAAATGTTGTTCCTCAACTTGGGATTATATTCATCTTGTTTAACTAATTGCAAACCTTATTTATGGTTTGAGAGCCAAGGCAAGTCCAAACTTTGGAGACTTGTCAACAGACTTGGTGTCCAGTTCTCCCGATAGTGTGAAAAGGGACTTGGGACGCCACTCATGCTGGATTAGAGCACTGGCCTTTCCAAAGTTGTTCATCCGTGCCTTCACTGTGGTCAATGGATCCAACTGATGCTGGGTACCAACTATTATGGTATTCATATTAGTTGAGAAACTATGGGTCACCTCCACACCAATGAAAGTATTGGGTTTAGTGTTTTGGTAGTACGAGGCACTCAAGGTATCACCCTTGTCATTCCTGCACCATTTTTTATCCACATTAATAATGTAAGATAAATCATAAGATCAAGTATGCATAAAGGTATGCAGTTGAGAAAAAGTGTGTCAAATAGAACTCTAAATTGTTGTTTCTCATCATCTCTACCTTAAGACAAAGTAAATTTTTAAAGCAAGATGGTATTTGAGCAAGTGAAAAAAAATGAACAAAGAAACCACTTACAGTGTCAAGGCAGCAATAAGGTCTGAATTTATGAAACTCAAGCCAGCATTATATTTGGTGAAAGTCCCGGTCTTGGAGTCAAAGGACACATCAGTTCCAAGTGCAAGAGAATTAGTTCCCAGTACAGTAGAGAAGCTGACAATGGGATTGGCTGTCAAACCAACGCTGGTGCTTATACCAGCATAATCATGTAAATATTGAATTTCAAGCTGTCATGACAAGGAAGCAAGTAAGAAACATAAAAATGAAACTAACACTCAAAAAAGCATAAAGACAAGTATGGTTACTTCAATCCTGTCATGGAAAACTTGATGAAAACCAAAAAATAAGAGCTACTTGCCTTTCCCGATCTTTGATCAGGAACTCTGAAGTTTAAAATGGTCTTCAAACCAGGAACAGGTTCATTAACTGTGATAGTTGTAAAAAGCTGAAATTGGAAAGACAAAACAATTAGAGGACGTAATTTCCAATGTGTCTCAACTGCCAACCAGTAGAAAGCATACTAACATGCAAGAACTACAAATTAGCTATCTAGATCATGATAACTCTATAGGTTCATAATCTTTGCTACTGTTTGTTATTGATGTACAGAAAGACTTCACATAATACACAGGTTGCAGTGATCATTCAATACCCAGAATTCTGCCCCAAGTTATGAGCAAATAAGAAAAAAATTTGAATATTTCTAAACTAAAAAGGATAAAGGAAATATAAGAATAATGAACATTTCTACGACATCATACACTGAACTACTAACAATGGAAATAAGGAGGTAAAATGGCTAGATAACATCCAAGGAAGGTATTGATTTTTCTCTTCAGCTGAGATAAGTAGCTTGAAGTCTTGAACACCCTTAATATTTCTAGACTGCATACCATGTTGTACAACAGAAATTCCCAAAACTAATGTTAGAAGGTTGTTAGAGGAGTTCTCCTAGCTAGGCATTTGAAATTTGAAATAAGTGGTTGGGGTTTCCTATGAGCTTGTATATAAGTGTAGGTTTCCCTGTACTCATTCATTCACTGTATTTCTCTATCTCAATATACACTTCACTATTTAGAGTTCAACAACTAATGCAAAAGCTAGACGCAAGTACACACAATTGAGCTACGTACAGATAACTAGAAGATCATGAGAAAACAATAGGCATCACTGAATCAGGCGTAAATGGGGAGCTCACATTAGAATTCGTGTCCACTTTAATATCAGTGGTGATATTCTTGTTCTTCAACTGTGTGTTGACATCTGCTACAAAGAAATCCCCTTTCTTTGATCCAGATGAAGTAATAGCCTAGAAAATAAAGTGAAGAAAGCATTAATTTGTGTGTAAGCACTTCGCAACAAGAGGTTAGAATATAAGTGATTATCTACAAATTATACATACATGAGCAAATGAAAATATTTTAAATATAAAATATACACCTCTTCATGGACACAAAATGGATCCAAACCCTCTAAACAAGTGCATGGAAGTAGATGAGTACATAAGAAACATCAACTATGAGTTAAACCAGCCAATCCAAAGCAATTTTACTTGTAGCTACATAAAGAACTACATTAATCATGCTCATTATAGAAAGATTGCTGGGGATAATACCCCTGGCACATCAAGGCCTAGTCAGACCAAAAGCCCAAATGATTTATCTGCCCAAGTTAGCCCTATTTAAGATCCAACTTCCATGGTGTAACTCTTCTTTTCTCTTCACCCTCTTCATAAGTAATGGAGCTCAAGACTTTCAAACAAGCTCAATAATGTAAATGCATTAATACACAAGCATACCGGAATCCTTCACCTTGGCTTAGCCCAGAAAAGCTCATGGTTTTTCTCTTACATCTTTCCATGTTAAAGTCATATCTTTGTGTACACTATTACTTATCTACAATTCTTGTAGGTTGGGTTGGGCCTATAGGGTCTTTAAACAGCAAAGAAGATGAGTACAACAGACAGCAAGAGCCAGAAGACTTAAAAAGAAATGTCACTAAACACAGAAATCACAACATGTCTCCAGTCCTACTGCATTTTACTTTAACTCGTATACAGAATAAATACACAGTAAGAAGCATGTTTACCAGTTTTTCAAAACTCAACACTTATGTTATCAATTCAATTATATCCAAACCGTAGCTAAAACAACGATAAGCACTCGGATCCGAGAAAAACGAAGAAAACTCACAACTCCGGTAGGAGAGTAGGTAGTGATTGTGAACTTGTGGTCTGTCTGGTAATCTTTGTATAGAAGATCTAATTCAATCAAAACACACAAACATTAAAATATACGTAAATTAGCGCAAAAAAGCGGAAAAAACTGAAATCAACATTAAAATGTAAAATTCAAAAAACACCATATTGCATGCGAATCAAAATAAAAATAAAAATAAAAAACGCTATACTTCATGCTGCAACTGAACCAAATCTGAGATTTGATTTGTATATGCATCTATAGACACTATGAATACACATAGCGTATATAGAGGGAGATAGAAGAGACCTCGAGCTTTCTTGCCGATGTCGGAGTAGAGACCCGGACCCTTGCCCATGGTTGAAGTGAGAAATCGGAGATCAGAAATCAGGGAGAAGAGAACGAGAGCGAGAGCGAGAGCGAGAGTGAAGATGAAGGATGCGCTTTTCAGCAACGTGAGGCGGAATGTTCCTGCTCACAGCCTTATTTTGAACGGTGGGCCCATACGTGTACTTCCAAATTCCCATGCATATGAGCCTTTAAAGTGGAACATGTGCGATTTGTTTGTTTTTTTGGATAGATAATCACATATGAGGTCCTAGAGTTTTTGCACTTTTGGTCCACACTATGATAACACTATTAGATTGATCAATGAATTTCAAATCTTGTAATTTCAATTCATGTTTATTATTATTATTTTTTACAAAAATGATCCTTCTAGTTTATTTTTCATCAAATTTTCATCGGAGTAAGAATCATTTCTATCTCCCAACTTATAAAACCGACGTCGTTTTAAATCAGGGTGCACAATGCAAACGACGTCGTTTTGAATCAAGACGCACATTGCAAACGACGTCGTTTTGGATTTGGGCACACCAATGCATTGTACGCCTTGATGCACGATATAATTTGCCGCGACATGGTGTGTTTGCCGGTAGACGTAGGAAAAGTTTTTGAAATAGACTCCCTTAGAACAACATTATCAATGTATATTTGGGGAATAATGTCAGATCAATTTTCTCCATTTGAGTTATTTCTAGATGTGAAGTAAGAATAATAGAAAAGATATTTGTCTTGCAAAAGTTAGAAAAAAAAAAAACAAAAAAAAAGAAAAGCAACAAGTGTCAAACGTGCACAGCCAATAACCACACGAGCGCGTCGCACGCGCTGCTGACTCTATTACATCGCCTCCACTGAGACTCGATCGCATGACCTCCCATATGGAAGAGGTCACTATAGAAGCTCTTAGAAAATATTTTCCATCCAATCAACCAGGGTAAAGTTTCCACTTGGTAATAACTAATAAATTTACTGTGAGCACACCGTAAAAAACCAACTTCTAAATTGGTAAGCCTAGAACGTTTAATCAGACAAATACATATTTTCGTAGCCATAGAGGCTTGTCTTACATTAAACTACACTACATCACCAGCGTTCAACTTGTCCAATGAAATACATCACATATAACACAACATATAGGTAATCCAATTTTCTTCCCACAGCAACAACACTAGAAACATTTGCATCTTCAGTTTTGACAACTACTGGACCCTTAAGAGCTCTCTGAATCATTCCCCGAATCCACGTTTGTGGGTTGTGCATTCTTGTAGTCACTGATCTCATCACTGTAGCGTTTCTTATCGGCCCGAGCCATTGCCTCGTATGGCTGTTTCTCCTCGGCTACAGAGAAATTTGACAAAGTTAGAGACCACAATGAAAACCAGAAATACACAATAAAGAAGTTGCAGAAATGGTGACCACACCTGACATCTTATTCCATTTATCTCCAAGAACCTTTCCGACCTCTGTGAATGCGATTCCAGGATTTGTTTTCTTCACGTTCTGCAGGTGGGAAAGAGAGAGCAATAGACATTAAAACAAATAGAGGCAAGCAGCTATCAATCGTAATGTTTAATAACAAATTCCGTTCACTTGACAAGGTTACTCACAACTATTGAGTATTGCCCAACAGGAGTGGAGGGATGGCATGGTGCATTTTACACCTCATCAGAATTAAATGTGGCTATGTATACCACAGCCTTGCCAACATCCTCTCTAGTTATTGTGAAAAAGACAAGAGAGGGGGGGGGGGGGGGGGGGGGGCGCACTTTTATGGACAAAATGTGCAATGACCATAGTCCTACAATGGAAAATATTACTTGGACTCCCAAGTTCTACCCCTACTTTTACTCCCTCACTCAAAATTTTGATGTTGACATTTTCGTTGTAAAAACTCTCCTACAACTCCTAAACTATCAAGATGATCCCCAAGAAGCTCACACATGCTTAAAATAACACGCTGTAAGATAAATACCAAAAGGACTTCATAACTATATAAAACATAATCACTGTACATATACCATAAACCTTTTAATATCATCAGGATTCCCATGAATACTTCATAAAATTGTCTGGTAAGAAGGGAAGCACATGGCAATGTGATGCATGCTCTGTGGGTGTGGATATGATGCAGGAAGGCAACAGTATTTGGTTCGCTGGAAAATATTTGAAGGGAAGTGGAATTGAAATTCCATGGAAAATAAATTCCAAGAAAATAGATTCCATTGTTTGGTTGGTGGAAAAGAAATTACTGGGAATATGAGTTCCATTGTTTGGTTGAATTTGGAATGGTAAAGAATAATGATTACAATGACAAATATAACCCTACACAACAATAATAATAATATAATAATGAGAGTAATTAATAAAGAATGATGAGGGTAAAATAGTCATATTAGTTTTCCATGGAAAACAAAATACCTAGTATGAGCTAGGAATTTGTTTTCCTCATTCTCAAGGAAAACATTTTCCATTAGGAAAACATTTTCCAATGGAAAATGTTTTCCATCCAACCAAACAACATAAAACATCATTTTCCTTCACCTTTAGGAAAACATTTTCCATGGAAAATGTTTTCCATCCAACCAAACACCCCTGTACTGTATTAATTAGATGTTTTAGTTAGATTAGAATTGGTTAACAGTTAGATGCCGTACTCCTTCAGGTGGCAAAACACTTCTTCCTATTCCTTCTTCTTCCCATGCCGACAATGGTGCCGTAGACCATAACACAATGCAAACTAAATAGTTGTACACAAGAAATACCAACCTCTCTTTCATTATTTGAAAAGAACATGAAAGCACTAATTGCCCTCTTTGGAGCATTTGGGTCCTTCTTCTTCTTCTGTTTCTTCTTCTTTGACATGTCATCGTCAGCTTTTTTCCTGCTTGTAGATGGTTTAGAAGTTGGCAGATCTTTCTTGGCCTTCTTTTTTGCAGGTTTCTGAATTCACCATAAATCAAATTTTTGAATCCATCTCAATCAATCATATATTCATATTATAACTGGAAGGAGTAAAATTTAGAAAAGCTCACCTCTTTCTCACCACCACTGTCACTGGCATCAGATCCTTCTTCCCCAGAATCATCACTAGGAGAGCCCTCATCATCCTTGTCGGCAACAAAATCTTCATCCTGGAAAAAAGTTTATAAACAAGCTTCCTAAAATTACCAAACACCCCCCCCCCCCCCCCCCCCCACAAAAAAAAAAAAAAAAACCGTGTCCCCCAACACACACAGAAAACATATATAGCAAATGATTTACCTCCTCATCACTATCATCTTCTCCAGCTTCATTCTTAATTCGTTCAAGATGTGGATCAACAGCATCATCATCATCTTCCTGCAAAACAGCTGTAACACCATCTGCTGGCCGGACATCTCCAAGGTTCATTATTTTAAGACCCTTTGAACTGCATTTAACAATCAATGACTAAGAAGTGCTATACAACAGGATATTTCATGAGCATTACTGGGAAAGTGGTCTAGAATGCCTGCTAACCTGATGAAATCAAAAAGATTATGGTATTCATTTCTCTGGATATTCCGGAAAAGATGTTCTTGTTCAGTCTTAAGTCTGACAAGAAGATCAAAGTAATGCATATTTGCTGTACCAGCAGCATGCCTCTCAAATTCCACATAGTCAATCTATGTGCATGTAAAACCAATACTGTCAGAACCGAGAAGTCCTCTAATACTGTAATCACAAAACTAATAGCTATGCAGCAGCTTTAAATGTTACCTCATCATAAAGAATAAGGGTAGGAGGTTTAGGTAGAAAGAAGAACCCCTTTTCAAGTGGATAGAGGAGTCCATCTTCAGCTTTCAAAGAAGACTTCACAGCTAAATACTTCTGATAACTACGGAACTTCCCATGTCCCGTGATTTTAGCACCAGACAGGCCACGTAATATTTTAGTAAAGACATCATGTACAAGTCCCTAATCATCCAAGGCAAGAATCCAGAATAGGTAAGTAGAAATTATGTCTCAAAAGTTAATAGATGTACCTACTGTAAAGCATAACCCAAGCAATAATTTCAAGGTTAACAAATAAGATAATAAAAGAAGGCCCTACCCACTATGCAAGGCCCCTGCAGCATGTAGGTCAACCAAAATAAATAAATAAATGTGGGTGTGGGTGTGGGTGTATGCACATACAAATTTACCTTATATGTTAGCTCTAGCTTGTCCTTGTATTTGCTATTCAAAAGATCTTCATTCATTGTCAGAGCAGTGTCTACCACATAATCTGATTCAAACTGCATCATAACATGAAAATCAGTGCTTTTCAGGTGCTCTATAGTTTAAGACTATAATTATTTAGAATGCAGCACTTATACCTGCAAAACAATATGTGGGTACAGGGTTTGGCCCTTTCTAATTGGTGGATCGAGAGTAACAACCACAAAAGTGTGCGGTTGACTAACCTGCACAAGAAAATAACTTTTTGGTGAGAAATGCAGAAGAAAGAGGGTAAAAAATTTCTATGTAGGTAATCAAGAAAAAGCAAACAGTAGAAGACAGAACCTTGGGCAATAAAAATATGCGGACAACACTGCTGTACTGAATTTTAAAGTCATTAGCTTGCCCTTGAAGACGCAGGAATGAAAGGTGAAGCTCAACATTGTATCGACCCCTGCAATGGCAAAAGGCAAATGTCAACTATTACAAGCAGAGCCAACTATAACAGGATAGTCAATGACATGACAAGCATTCAAACATCTACCTAGGAGTGAGTATAGCAATCCCATCAAATGTAACAACAGCTTCTTCCCCATCCGTAACATCAGCCATAGCCACAATTCTATCACGGAAGACCTATTTGGAATTTCAAATATTCAATTGCAACTAAAAGAAAAGGTATTCCTTCTCCTGGTAAAAGGAAAAAAGGATATATATATATATATATGTATATATATATATATATATATATATATATATATATATATATATATATGTATATATATTTCCAATTGCTGTCTCATTTATTGGGTTGAGCATTTACCTGAGCAGGAGGGTGGTTTTCATCACCAACAAACTGAGTATTTGAATTAGGTATATGAAAGCTTATTTCCATCAATGAATCTTTCTGAAATCATAACAAAAGAGTGGCTACGTTCTTAATAGGGCACCCCAATAAGAGTGAAGTATTTTTTCTTCTCCAACAATTCAATAAACATGAATCTAGAAAGCAAGGAAATAAACAACAGGCCATATCAACCTATAAACAATTAGATGCCAATATGCCACTTATATTATAAAAAGGTACGCAGCAAGGTTACAAACCTCATTTGCTCCAGTTGTATCATCTACATGAAACTCCAACATGACATCATTTTTCCCCTGAAGCTGTGTTTGTGAGACATCAGCTAGTGATATCTCAAATGCTTGCTTAGAACCAACAAGAAAAGTAAGCATATTCCCTGAAAAAAGAAAGTGAACAATTAAATGCCAAACAGTGAGAAGATGTGCATATGAAACCAACTAACAGTAGCCACAATAAACAGAGAAATAGATGGTGCAAATATATGAGCACAAACCAGTTAGATCAACTTCTCCCCAGTTTTTTCCACTCACAGAGAGTTGCTTCTCCTCTGGGGTTATTCCATAAGAGTTCTGGAAAAAAGCTGTCAGACTTGAAACATCCTGCAAGACAGAAGATAATAATCAACCACTTCAGGCTACAACCTAACAATCTCTCAATGATAACAAGATTATTGCCTCTGCAGTCAAAGCATGTTTAGTTAATCTTCTAAAAATTAAAATTTTGAGCATTTGCGATTAGCATGTTACTATCAGCAATATCAAAAGTTAAATTAACTAGGGAAATAAAAGGGTAAGCACCTACAAAATGGAAACTTTACCTGGTCACGAAAACCAGTAAACTTATAGTAAAGACCATCCTTAATCCGAACACCAAGCTGATTAGATCGAGGAACCTTCATCCAGGTAAGCCCAGCGATATCAGACTTGTCCACTTCCACCGCCTTACCACCACCAGCCTTCTTCCACAGAATACCCCCTGCATGAACCTTAAGTTGCCCAGGGTTCTATTTTTCCCAGGTAGACGTATCGTTAATAGATAGCAAACCAGTTAAATAGCAATTCAATAGAAATAATTTGTCCAGTAAATTAGGCTCCCCAAACAAGAACTGTTAGAAAAAAACAAATTTCAAGAACTAAACCCTAGAAATCCTGAAAACAATTTTTCAACTAGATTGAATGAGAATCAGATGTATTTGTCTTGTTTTAAAACAAAAATCACATATTTAGACCAAAATAAAAAGCAAGCCCTTAGAAAGGTACTGAAATGACGAAAAAAAAAATAGAGTTCGCAGCAAAGATATTAAGCTTCGAAACCATTGGAAAAACAAAGACGGATACAAAAAGAGTGAAAGAACTCACCGTGCCTCCACGGCCACCGAGAGAGATACTGTTGAACATATGGCCGTCCGTCATGGCGACTTCGAAGAAACACTGGAATTGAAGTGAAAACGGAGCTTTAAGCACAGTGCGCACTCTGAGGGTTTGGCGCGAAAAAGGAAAGAGATCGACTGTGAAGCCGGTCAGCCTAAGTAAAAACTCTCCAATGTAAATTGTACACTTCGGTTGTAGGGTTTACAAATTATTCCCCAAATACAGTATCTTTCTGGAAATTTGACTGTTGTTCCCAGCTACAACATCTTTGAAGAGTTTGACTAAAATAGAGAAGATGATAGTGAAATGAAAAAAAAAAAAAAAAACAAAAAAAAACAAAAAAACAAAACAAAACAAAACAAAAAAACAAAAAACAAAATTTGATAAAATAAAATTACAAAAAAGACAAAGATTTACGCTTAGGACATCCTCAATAGTGATAGGATTTTGAGGAGATTTTACAGGTGTGATTAGGAAAGAGAAATTGGTGAAAAGGAAAAAAAAATAAAAAACAAAATCAAAAACTAACAAAATCTTCTCAAAATCCCTCAAAACCCCCTAAAATCCCCAAAATCCTGACAAAATCCCACAAATAACATAACTACCCCAACCTTATCTCTTCTCTCTCCTCTCTCCTCCACTTCACCCATTTTACCTATAAACAACATAAACAATCTCCCTGTTGGGGTTGCTCTTAGTGTGAGATTTGCGCCTCACCCGAAGCACATTTTCTTCTCTTCTTTTTTAGTGGGTCCCACTATGGAGACAAAAACTCAACTTCTTCGACAAAAATTTCTTTTTTTCTCTCTCTTTTTGCCTCTCCTCCTCTCTTAAAAAATCACACCAAAATGCATTGATGAGGGTGTTCTTAGGATATCTCCAATAGTTTTATTTTTGCACAAGATTTTAGGTGTCATGTAGAAAAATGGGGAGAAAAAAAGAAATAATATTTAATGAGATGACGACCACCATCAATGCGCCCACTGGGCACTACTGCATATTTCTTTTGTTTTCTTTAATTATACCGTGGGGTCCACTGCAGGAGACAAAAAACTCCATTTAGGCTGTGTTTGAAAATCCAAAAAATGATTTCTGTAAATTAATTTTTTGAATTTCCCATGTTTGGATGACATTGGAAAACTCAGTCAACGGAAAACAATTTCCGTTGACTGGGGAAAATCAAGCTAATTTGGCAGAAAATGACTTACGCCTAATTTTGGTGGAAGTCATTTTCCTCCAAATAAGTAAGTAGTATTATAGAGTAGTTGTCTAGAGTGTTTCTCTCTCTAGAGAGAAGTCTCTCTGACTTCTCTCTAGAGTGCCAATTCTACGTGAGTTTATCCGATGTTCGTATGAAAGGTTTCTTCAATTTTTAGTGAGATTGGCTACTGGAAGTGGATTCTAATCTGCTTTCATGGTTGATTAACATATTATAATAATATGTTTACCTGTTTTGATTTTTATTTATGTGCTTTTCGATTTAATCAATGGCTTATGAGACAACAGTTGTCGGTTTTCTTATGAGTGCTTGGCCGTCTACTACTTTACACCGCCGGTGGACTTTGTCTTCTAAGATAAGGACAAAACTCTATTTTGGCTTTATCAATGAAGACATCCGATGGTTTCCCGGCGAAAACAAGTGTGCATGGGTCAACGGATTTCCGGCGACGAAGGTTTGTGCGTTTTCCGGTGGATTTTGCGAAAGTGATGGCTACTCTAACTCTCATGGCGCTGTAGATGGTGACTGCCCCCAACGGTGGTCTCAGCCCAGGCGCTCTGTTCCTATTTACCTAGGGTGGGGAAAGATCGCTGACGTTTTTCCGGCGGCAAGGTGCTTTCCACGACGATGTGATTCTTCTTCGCCGATCGTTGTTCTCTCTGCCGGCGTGACGCGAGAAACCAATTCTGACGCCTAAATCCTCCGATTCACAGTGTCCTTCGATGGACGATCTGGAAACAGGTTGACTCTACGGCGATGGGAGTGGTGACCAGCGAACCAAACGTCGGTGGCAGAGATCTCTGCGGATTCCAGCGATCTCGTAAGTTTCTCAGGCGGTTTGTTTCTATGGTTTTTTGTTATTCTCTCGGCTGTTAAAGGGGTATAGACATGAATTGGTGTTGTTACGTTATTTTTTTGATTTTCCTAGCGTGGGGTGCTTTGTCCGGCGAATGGAATGTTTCCACCGTGTTCGCCTCTGTTATTTGACCCCTGTATGTGGATGGTGTCTCTCTGAAATGGCGCCTGGAGTATGGACTGCATTGGAGATGTGTGGATGTTCCCAGTTTCCGATGGTCCTCGATTTTTCCGGCCATGTTGGGGTGGTTCCGTCTGTGTTAGGGTGATTGCAATGGTGGTGAGCAAAGGTCCGGTATGTTCTGTTTGGTTTCATCTTGTTTGTGGATTTTTCTAATCTGAATTGGCGCTGGAGTTGGAGTGCGTTGGAGATGGATTTCGACGACCCTTGATTTTTCCGGTCAGTTTTGGTGGATTCCGTCCGTGGATGGGTGTTTCCGGCAAGGGTGTTCTATGGCCATGGGTTGTATTTTTCGTACCAGGTTCATCGCTATTCCGGTGGCATGTCGACTGGTGGCACCGAAGCTCCGGGAGGTCGTCTGGTTGACCGTCACTAAGGAAAGGTGACTGAGTTTGGTAATTTCCGGATTTCTTGGTGATTATTGTTTATTGTTTTGATTTTTTCCATTCTGAAAAACGCGTTATGGCTGTTGATGGAAGATGGTCGCACGTGGTGCATGGATCATGAATGATCAGTACCGGGTCAACCCGTTTTATTACGGGCTAACCCGTTTTGTGACCCCATGGTTCATAGATGTTCCGTCACTAAGATGTAACAAGTGGTCTCTGTGGTTGGTTGGTTTGTGAGGTTGAGTGGTGGCCATATGGCACAGGTTCGATCTCACATCAATCGGGAGTTCTTTTGGATCTCCCTCCCTTAGGTGGACGATTTTTGCTACTGCATTGTCATTTTTAATTTATGGATGAGCTATTGGTTTGAAAGGTAAATGTGGTGTAATGGTAAAGAGTGTTGTATTGGGGATTCCAGCTTGGGTTCAAGTTCTTGCACAGAGTTGATGAATGTTTTCATGAGATTATTTGGATTTTCTACCTGTGACATATACGGTTAAATTATCTTAAGACAGAATAGATTTAAAGCTTCAAGTTAGCATGGCGGGAGAGATCTCAATTGGTTGGTGTGCGACTTGGGTTTGAGTCTTTATGGAGTTTTATTTTTACATTCAGATCTAAAGAGACCATTGTGCACGGGACTTGGTTTTATGGTGCTTTCCTCATGGCGTACTAGTTAGGCTTAGCTTATTTTAATTAATTTTGCTTAGTCTAATTTGTATTAGCCGCGATGTTATTCCAGTTTTCTTGTGTCTAGTTAATATTTATGTTTTTGGTGTAATCAGGGGTATGCCCCGGTGTCACATGTATTGGACTTTTGATTTATATTTACATCTCCCGATTTGATGGTTTCCACCAATACAACAATGTTTTCGACAGAAACTAGACATGTGGTTTCCGCCAGAAACCTAACCAAAAAAAAAACGAGAAGAAGAGATCAACTCTAGTTTCTGGCTGTGAAAATCAGTAGTCTGGTTTCCGCCGAAAACCTTAAAAAAAAAAAAAACAAGAGGAAAAGATCTACTCTTGTTTCCACAGCCAGAAACAAGTTTGGTTTCTGGCTATGTTTTTTTTTTTTTTTTTAACTTTTTAATAATTAATATTATTTGATTTCAAAAAAAAAAATTATTATCAATATTTTTTTTTATTTTAAACAAAATAATTTATTATATAAAATAGTTAATTATACACTTCTACCTCATTTTAATCCGTTTGCTCACCTATATGAGAGATCTAAGGTTCGAGCCTTGGTGTAAGTGTAGATTGTATATGTGAGTATCCCTCCCTTTGTAATAAAAGAAAAGGTATGCATATACATGCAACAATCAAAAACTTTACGAGATATAAAATTACTATTCACAAATTCAACAGCCAACATTATATATAAAAAGTTTTTTCATAATCTGTAAAACTTTAATATATTATTTAATTATATTTTTATATACTTTTACATTATTTATCATCTTTCTAATTTATTCTTGAACTTCGCCGTAACATAATTATTTTTGCGGGTAAAATATTATTTATTCAAATATGCATTGTATATGTCTGTAACAAATAGTATAAATAAAAAAAGTTATAAATCACAAATGAATAATTAAAAACGAAAACTATTAAACAAGGATATCTTTGCTAAATTTGTCTTTCGAGATGAGAGTAGACTGCTTGACTCTTGTACTTAAAATGAAACGTCGCCGTTTCGAGGTAATACATATACCCTCGCCTCCTCGCTCCATTCTCATCGTCTTCTCCGGTCGCCGCCCCGCCGCCGCAACGCAACACGGCAACACCCATTAGTCCATCGCCACTTCGACCACCGTCTTCGGCTTCATCTACACCCGAACAAGTAACAATTATTCTGGGAACAAGTAAAAATCTATAGGCTTCTCAGAGTTGGATCTTCTCTAGATCGAAGAGAAAATTTGGGTTAATGGCGAATTGGGTTCTGATCACAGTCATATCGCTAGTACTTACCCCTGTGCTGCGGCTTGCCGTAATCGTGCTCGGTGGGCGGCGGAACAGGAAGAAAGCCGTTGGATTCTTCCACCCTTACACCAATGACGGCGGCGGTGGAGAGCGAGTCCTCTGGTGTGCTGTAAAGGCTATCCAAGACGAACGCCCTGATCTCAACTGCGTAATTTACACCGGTGATCATGATGCTACTCCCCAAACTCTCAACGCTCGCGCCTTTGACCGATTTGGTGTCAAATTGCTTCACCATCCTCAGGTATGTAACAATATTAAGAAATAATAGTATGAAATATGGGCATTTTGATAATATTTATTAGTTATATTGCTTTTATGTTTGCAATATTTTAGCACTGTACACACGGCCACCCCATAGTGTCATTATGTTATTGAATTCAAGTTTTGGGCTTGGGTTAGAAACTGAAACTTACAGTCCTATCTGAACTTTGGTCATTTTAGCTATTGAGTCATAAAAATTGAATTCTTGTTGCCTTTATGTGAAGAACACACAAATTAATACTAAGAAAGATTTCAGCTTTAACCAAGAATACCAAAAAAATTATGAGGATGTAAAAACCCCTGTAAAGATTGATTTGCAGTATCAGCATGGGGTATTGACTATTCTGATTTCATGTATTTGCTGCATGATACTTGTATCCTGTAGCAGTGTTTGCTCTATGATTTTCTTTGTAAATGTATCTTCTTTTTAAGTGCCTCATAAAATTGTTTGTGTTAATTTTAGGTTGTATTAGTTAACTGATTAATCAAATTTCATATAATCATATCATACATTGCATGTTCTTGACATCCTACTATCTTATGTTAGGTGGTCCATCTATATAAGAGAAAGTGGATTGAAGAAACTACGTACCCTCGATTTACAATGATTGGTCAAAGCTTTGGTTCCATCTATCTTTCATGGGAAGCTTTATCCAAGTTCACTCCTCTGTTCTATCTTGATACGAGTGGATATGCTTTTACCTATCCTGTTGCCCGGATTTTTGGCTGCAAAGTTATGTGCTATACACATTATCCTACAATTAGTTTGGATATGCTGTCACGTGTTCATTCTCGGAGCTCTATGTACAACAATGATGCCTTGATTGCTAAGAGGTGCCATTTGCATATGCTAATATATCTATTCTGAATCTTAGCTACTTTAGCACTTCATATACAGTTTTATGCATGCGAATGGCTGACTTTAAGATCTGCTTTAGGCACTGCTTTGATCAGATTGGAACATCTGGATCTCTTTTTCTAATTGTTTTAACACATGATGATAACAAAATTCTTTTCTTACAGTGCCTTATTGTCCTGGTGCAAAGTCATTTATTATACTATTTTTAGCTGGATGTATGGTTTTGTTGGTTCCTGCTCACATCTTGCAATGGTCAATTCCTCATGGACACAATCTCATATTGAAAAGCTCTGGGGAATATCATCTCGTACTAGGAGGGTGTATCCTCCTTGTGATACTTCTGGGCTTCAGGTTTACATGTTTGTCTTTTTACTTTGCGATTCACGCTCTTTTATCATTGTTAGTTATAACCCTTATGTCACTCTTGATATCTTGGCTTGTTGATTGTCATGCAGGTGCTCCCTCTTGAAAGGGCAATGGATCCTCCTAAAATTATATCTGTAGCTCAATTTCGTCCAGAGAAGGTGGGGGTTCTTATATAAATAAATCCTTATGAAATGAGGGTATCCATTTTTTTGCTAAAATTACATTTTGAGGAGCAAAAGTCAAGTTAGGGTCATGTTTAATTGGTTTGCTATGCACCAGGCTCACCCTCTCCAACTGGAGGCATTAGCTGTTGCCATCAAAAAGTTAGAACCAGGCCTACCAAAGCCCAAGCTCCAACTTGTGGGTAGTTGCAGAAATGAAGCAGATGAGAAAAGACTTCAAAATTTGAAGGACCTGGCTAAAAAATTAAACGTGGAAAATGATGTGGAGTTCCACAAGAACGTGATGTACAGGTTTGGAACATTACAGTGTATATTATGTTACTGATTGGTATCTAATACGATACTAAAATATGATATTTACTTCTTGAGGCAAAAGCTTTGCCTCATAAACAGGAACTATCTTACTCTCAAAGCGTTTTTAACTTCATTTTAAAGTATTGTGTTGCAAAGTTTGATTTAGCTCACCAGTAATAGGAGGATAAAATTGTTCAATTTCCTATTTTTAAAATTTGTAATAGAGATCAAGATATTGCTTGCATCAAGTATTTGGGTTAGCTGGTTGTTATAGTGTTTAAGATCTCTGCAGCTCTTCTTGCTGCACATTATTTCCTTTTGATTGATAGCTATTATTTGGTCCACTTTTTGAAAGTGTATTTCTTAGTTGATTTTCTTTAGTAGCTGGTGCCAATCATTAATTCATTTTTTATGGTGCTGCAGTGATCTGGTGAGGCTTTTAGGCGGTGCGGTTGCTGGTATACATTCCATGATAGATGAGCACTTTGGCATATGCATTGTGGAGTACATGGCTGCAGGCGCCATACCGATTGGTTGGTTCCTATTTTTTGTATGGTGCTCAAGTATTTCCTTATAACAAATACAGATTTTCGGTTGGTTCCTATTTTTTGTATGGTGCTCAAGTATTTCCTTATAACAAATACAGTGTTGTAAAAATCGGCCTAGGCACCTTTAGGCTGAGGGGATTTCGCTCCTAGGTGCTTTTTAGTTAGTTGGCCGAAGTCGGTGCCTAACTCGGTTGAGTGTTTTTTTTTTTTTTTTTTTTTTTTTAGGGCGGCTACACTTTATTATTATTATTTTACTTGGTCGCCTAGGCGCTCTAGGTGTTAGGCGCCTTCCGGTCGCCTGACTAGCGCCTTCTGCAACATTGAACAGATACATATGAATCCCCTAGGCGCTTTTTAGTTAGTTAGCCGATTAGGCACCCGACTCTGTCAAGTCGGCACCTAACTCGGCTGAGTTTTTTTTTTCTTTTTTTTTTTTTTCTAGGGCGGCTACACTTTATTATTATTATTTTACTCGGTCACCTAGGTGCTCTAGGAGTTAGGCGCCCCCCGGCCGCATGACTATCGCCAACATTGAACAGATACATGTGAAGCCCACTTACCAATTTTCTTATTCTTGTCAGCTAATAAATCTGCTGGGCCAAAGATGGACATTGTATTACCTCAAGATGGAAAGCAGACTGGGTTTTTGGCACAAGATGTGCTAGAATATGCGAGTGCCATCATTGAAATCGTTAAGATGTCGAGTTCACAAAGGCTGGAGATGGCTGCAGCTGCAAGGAGGCGAGCTTCTTTGTTCTCAGAGCAAAGATTTTATGATGATTTTAAAGCTGCAGTTGGACCAATCTTGCTCCATAGATAGGTCCTAGTCGTCAGACATTTGTTCTTAAATAGAGTTGGAAACAATAAATTATGTAAACAACTTACTCACACTTGTTGATACAAATACAAAAGTATAAAAGAGCTCATGCTAAAGGATTAAGGAATTCTGCTACTTCTGTTCATACATGCATGAGAGTGAGTGATTGAGGCCCTATAATTTGGACTAAAGGGTGGGTGAGTCATAATTTTTTTAGTCATTGCAGATGTATCGCAAGTCGTTCAATCAACCCTTCACACTATTGCTTTCAGTCGTGACATTAAGTCAGGCGACGAATCACTACACCAAGTCCTAGGAGGATATCAAGTTAGGCGATGAATTACTATGCTAAGCCGGAGGCGTGAGTCATGATTGTTAGTGAACACTTTAGTGAATGCTGCATTATAGACATGTTTTCTCAGCTGAAATTCTAATTGAAGAAGAAAAAAACCTTGTTTTTGTGTAATGGCCAATGGCTAGCCAGCCCATTGTCAAAATTTAAAAAGGTGGGCAAAACATTTCCTTTCCTTTACTGGAAAGTGTAAAGATATGAACACAATCAATCATTTCACAACCCTTTAGTTCTATACTTTGAGAAATTTCATCAATTTGGTCATAGTAAAACATCAATAAATAAAACTTTATCAAAATTTAAATTCACTTACACAACCATGTTTCACCATCACTGTACCCTGCCCAAATTTCGGAAAAGCTAGTTGAGAGTTATCCTTTACACCAAAAGTAATGAATGGGTGGGGGTTTAATGCTTCTAACTTCTAAACATGGTGACTATGAAGTGTCAGTAGTTATAAAGAAGAGTGAATGTGAGATTTTAGAACATCTTAACAGCCGTGAAAGAAACAGAAGCTAAACAGCCTAAGTAGACTACAGAGATCCTATCTCCCGAGTTCCCCCCTTCACCTCTAAGGCAATTTAATACTTGATGATGTCAATATAAATCCTGTGAAATGTGAAAACAACCCAGTTAGCAATCCATGCCAAGTGCTTTCAAGTTTCTTCATCATTTTATTCCATTTTTCCATCCATTAAACAAGCACACATTGTTTTTGGAGGTTGGATTCAGAACCTATTTGAGTAAGAAAGGCCCCATTTACTGTAATATTTTGCTTCAAGATTGATTACAAGACGTCCCAAATGGGAAGGCCAGAAAGGCATGGAACTTGCATTCATAAGGAAAGGCAAGCACATACAAATACATTAAAAAAAAAAAACGCTAGTGAAAACTGAGGTACCTCTTTCTGACCACTGAAGTCAAGATTTCAAAACATCTGTCATATCATCAATTCGAATCTCACCAAACCTGATGCTCTAAAACTGTTTTCTCTTGTTCCGAAATAACTTGTCCCTCTTTGCGACAATATAGACAAGACCAATTAAAATCCCGAGAGACATAGAAACCGACATCCATGGAAACGGTGGGTCCTTAAAGCAGACGAGCGACGCCTCCAAATCTTGGGAAGCATGATAAACAAGAGAGTGAATGGCATATATATCATGATCTGACGACCTTAGGTAATATAACGCCATCTCGAAATCGAAATGTGACAAAGCCGAAACTGTTTTATCCAGCTTGTACTTGAACAAATTCCACCTTTGGATAAACTCGGGAAGCTGATTATGCTTAAGGAGTTTCCTCTCCCCGCCATGTGAAGCAATGGATTCCATGACATCGATAGCACTCATGAGACTATAGTTCAAAGACGTCAAAAGAACATTCCTTCGAGCAGCATCTTTCTGTACAAAGGACAGCGATGAAATTTCCGAAAAGGGCCCAAACGGCGTATGCCCAACGCTCCACGTATAGTCCACAAGAGTCGTATTGTGCTTAGGGCTCCACAGCAAATGCGTCGGGGACACTCCCCACATACTCTGCAAAATGGAACCAACGAGGGGTCTCTCGAGCTGACGGGTCTGGGTAAAAACATGGCGACCATTACAACTATAATCACTCACGGCCTGGTTACTCTTTGTCCTCACCGCAATAACCATATCTTTAAAAGCCACCGTTTGATGGTATCGATCGAGCAACAAAATCAAGCTGATATCCAGGTCGAAAACATAGACGGGAAGAACCCTCCCGAAGTCTTCCTGGGGAAGCTTTGCCACCCGCCTAAACTCCTCAGCGGATTCCGACAAGGTCTGGTGTAAGCGCTTCGAGTCCAGGTATTCACTAACGATCATAGTGTAGTTATCGAATAAATACCTAGAAGTGTATGAAGTAGTTGCCCTAGAAATGGCAAAAGAACATATCGAGCACTCCGCTAAGTTCACCTCATACTTCTTAAAGCTTAAAGATTGATCACCCAACAATAATCCACTATCCCTTACTTCATCCATAAAAGTCATCTCTATCGATTTCCAATCCAATCCAAAGCTATCTTGACTATCCGATTCCGGGGAACTCTTTATGTGTATAAACTCAACTATCAATGAATTCTCAAAAGGGACAGGAATTCTCAAGGAGGGAACAAGAAGAACCTGATAAGCACTCCAGACCAATGAGGCCAAGTCGGAAAGCAATGCCCTTTGGGATTTGGGGCGGCCGTGAAGGGATGCCAATGGATGAAACTCTCCTCTCGGCATAAGGCCATCGCCGGAGAGCGCCGGACCGTACTCGACCGGGCCGGCCCCTAAATCGATCCAGATATACCGGTCTTTCCCGGTCCAAATGCTGCCGAAGCACTTGGTAAAAGCCGGGGAAGAATCGCCATGGGTGTAGCTATAAGCATAGGGTTTGGATTGGGCGCCCAAATTGAGGATATAAATGTAAATTCCGCTGATGGGCTTCTCCTTCTCGAAGTCTAGTCGGATAATCTGGTCGATAATGGAGTACGGGACAGAGGTGAGTTGGGATCGGAAATTGGAAGAAGGGGCGGCGGCGATGTGGGTTTTCAAGGTTTCGGAGAGATGGGTGGCGAGCGAAGGAGGGGCGAGAGAGACTTCTGGGTGGAGAGAATGGGAGAGAGAGAGGTGGTGGGAGGGTTGGGTGGTGAACGGAGAGATGACGTGGTAGTGATCGAAGGAGACGGCGGAGGAGATGAAGGAGGAGAGAGTGGCGGGAGAGGAGGAGGTGAAGGTGGTCCCCACCAGCTTGACGGTGATTGGGACGGAGACTTGGAGGGAAAGGAGGGCGGCGATGGTGGCCGGCTGTTGAGGCGAGGTTTGGGAGAGAGTTTTCTTCAGATAGGAAGGTAGAGAAAGGAAGGAGTCATTGGTGGCTTGAGGGTCAACCCTGGATTGTTGAGCAAGAAAGGAGTCCAATCCCAAAATTGGGGCGGAGATGGTGACCGTGGCGGTGGCGAGGAGGCGGAGTAGGAGGAGGAAGACGACGGTCGGGAGCATTTCTAAGACCTGCGCCGATCCGGTTCAGTTATCGGAGCGACTGAGAAAAATGGTTTTCTTCGTATTACAGAACTCTTTAGCAGCGTTTTTTAAAATATTATATTATGACCTAGTAATATTGGGTGAACTAAATTGTAGTCACTGAAATTTTAAATTATTCGTTTCTGGCCCACACTTTGCCCAATAGTAATATAGTGATTAGTGGACCATAGTCTAAAACGGTGGCATTCTTTTTTTTTTTTTTTTAAATGAAAAGAAATGATAGCCATTACGTTCAACTGATTTTGTATCTATGACGTGCTTAGGATAAAATAAAATTATAATGATAAAATGAAACTAAATAGCAAGTTTCACAATTAGAATAACTTTCTCTCTCTACGCTCTCTAGGGTTTGTCTTGTTTCTTTGTCTATGCTTCTTTAGCAGTAAACCTTTTAAATAAGGTGTAGACCTTTGGCACTATAGGCTAGGACATGTTTCCTATCATAGAATTAGAATGTTGCAAAGTTTGAACTCTTCAATTTGTACTACAAAAAATCTTGTATGTGAGATTTGGCACTTTGCTAAACATAAAAAATTACACTTCTCTTGTAGTACTTCAGTTACAAATAAATGTTTTGATCTGGTTCATGTTGATATTTGGGGTCTTAACCATGTACCTCCAATTTATGGTGATTCATTTTTCTTCACTATTGTAGATGGCTACAACAGATTTACTTGGGTATACATGTTAACACACAAAAGTCAGGCAAGAAGTCTATTGCAAAATTGTCATGCCTTTGTACAGACTCAGTTCTCTGTCTCCATAAGGAATATCAAAAGTGACAATGGGCAGGAATTCAATATGCCTGCTTTTTATGCTAAAAAAGGAATCATTTATCATAAAATCTGTATTGAGACTCCCCAATAAAATAGTGTTGTAGAAAGGAATTGAAACATAATTACATTTTTTATGTAGCTAGAGCTCTCAAGATTCAAGCCAACCTCCCAAATTTTTTTTTGGGTTGACCCATGTTGTTTATTTGATCAATAAGTTGTCGTCCCCTATTATGCAAAACCAAACACCTTATCAGGTGCTCTTTAACAAAGCCCCATTCTTACACAAACTTAAGTGTATTTGGTTGTTTATCCTTTGCCTAAACTCTTTATACTCATAGAACTAAATTCAGTTCTAGAACTTGAAAGTGTCTCTTCCTAAAATTCACCAATGGTGTTAAAAGGTTACAAAATGTATGACTTAGCTATTGAGTTACTGGTCAAGTTTTTATAGTTAGAGATGTCATTTTTCATGAACACATTTTCCCCTACCTTCAGTCTTCAAGGCCTTTTGTTACTTCAGAGAGTCTCATCCTCTCTTTATCCACTCCCTTCCAAGATATCACCCAAACCACAACTTAGAATCAGACGCTGTCACCTCTTAGACCAAACAATGTAACACCTCTTCAAGACTGCAAAACTAAATCTGCAATAAACACGGGTTCCCCTCAAGACTACAATATTGAATCTACAATAAACACTGGTTCCCTTTATGACTACAATACTTCCCATTTTACCTCTGACCAACCTAGTGTACATTAGACACCTCCTAAACCAACACTTAGAAGATCCTCCAAACAACGAATTAGACCAGCATACCATGACGATTATGCTTGTTCTTCACAACATAAAACATCTAGTCCACATACTCTCTCAAATGTTTTGTCCTATCTCAAGCCCACCATGTATTTTTTGTGAATGTTTCACTAGTTAAAGAACCATCATCATGCCAAGAAGTTGTAATACACCCTTGTTGGAAAATGGCAATGAATACTGAAATTGCAACTCTAGAGGCCAACCATACATGGAAGTTCATGGATCTACCCCAATCCAAGAAGCCAATGGGGGTGAAAATGGGTGTACAAAGTGAAACACAATCCAGATGGTAACATTGAACGCTACAATGCCAGATTGGTTGCCAAAGGGTACACTCAAACCCCCGGACTAGACTATATTGAAACTTTTAGCCAGTAGCAAAATTAACAATTATAAGGACACTACTTGTTGTGGTTGCTGTCAAATGCTGGTTCTTGCACCAATTAGACGTCAACAATGCCTTTTGTATGGGGATCTAGATGAAGAGGTATACATGACACCACCCCAGGCTACAACGTGTCATGTCTGTTAACTTAAGAAATCTTTAGATGGACCTAAACAAGCTAGCAGATAATGGAACCTCAAGCTGACAATAAAACTCCTTGCTCAATGCTTTATTTAATCTGCTCAAATTGCTTCTTGTTTACTAAAGGCACATGTGACTCTTTTATTGCTCTACTAGTATATGTAGATGACATCTTGGCAAGCAATAGTGAAGTTCAGATACAGAACATAAAAGATCACTTTCACTCCACCTTCAAGATCAAAGATATAGGGGTTGCCAAGTATTTTCTCGGGTAATAATAATAATAATAATAACATTATATTATTAAAGTAATCTAATGGGTAAATTTTAAAAATCAATTTATCATTCAACCATTATATATTTTATGCATACAAAATATTGATTTTATTCGTTTCTTTTTAAGAGAATCGAAATCAAAACAAATTATTATATCATATAAAATTTTATCCCATAAAATAGTCACTTAAAATGCAATATTATTATTAAAAAAATTCCAACAGTTGGAAAGCAGCATGTGTCACGTGTTATCATTTATAGTTTATTTTGCTTCTAATCGGTAATCATTAGCCAGGCCAGCAGCTCTTTATTAAGGCCATCAGCCTACGATACGCCAGGCTAACTAGCTGCTTCCTAAATCTGCAGGCCGGCAGCTATAGAAACATGACAAATGTTTCTTCTCCACTGTTCTTGTGCATCTTCTTCTTCTTATTAAGTTTTGCACTTGCTGGGTTGGGCATCGCCAGCAGCCAGGAGGTTGAGTTCTACTTCATCAACAAAGGAGATTTCTCCGTCAAGCTCACCAACTATGGCGCCAGAGTCGCATCAGTCATTCTTCCTGACAAGAACGGTACGCACACACATAATACTGTTGCTGAGACTCGATCATTGGTTTCTTGTAACAAATTTAACCTTTATGATCATCAATTGAGCTACCTACCCATGCGGGCAACTCCATCTTTAATTTTTCCACCGAGTTCATCCATATATGCATATATGTGTGTTTCTCAAATCTCAAGAAAGAAATCTTACCATTTTAATAATAATTATAGGGAATCTGAGAGATATTGTTCTTGGGTACGATACTACTAAGGAGTACCAGGTAAGTTTCAATACTTGGTTTTCAATTTGGATTGGCCTGGAGTTGATGAACATTTCAATTGACTTCGATCTTCAATAATGTCTATAGTAAATTTTTTCATGAATGTACAATAACTATTCTCGTGAAATCGTAATTACTACATGAATTTTATAGAGATCTGATCTGCTAGGTCGTCAGTATTTTTTAATTCAAATAAAAAAGTCAACTACATTTTGCTGGATCTATCTGCTGTATTATCCGATCCGCTACATTAATTCATGTGGCTTTATTATATTCTTCCTTAGTTGGTCAAATTGCCTAGGCAGTCAACATATCTCTAGAAGTCGAGACTATTATTCTACTATCACATTCCACCTAGATCTCATCCAAGTTTTCATTTTTCAAATTTTCATTAAACAAAAGAAAAAAAAAGTTTCCCTACAAGCTAAGTAAATTATATTGTATTTGATTTTTAAAAGTAAATATATTGAATTCGTTTATATATAATTGCGTTGGCACGCAATGCATGCATGAATATGGTGCAGCTCGATGACTCAAATTTTGGAGCCATTGTGGGAAGGGTGGCTAATAGGATCGGTGGGGCTCAGTTCACTCTCAATGGTATTCTCTACAAGCTTGATGCTAACGATGGGAACAACACACTTCATGGTAAATACTTCCTACCATCCTTCACCATTAAATTAATACTTATATACACAAATACATATTGATGTAGTTTACATATCTTAATTGACGAGGATGATTAATGGGGTGTTTGGTAAATAGCTGTTAGCTGATTAGGTTAGTGAGTTTGACTAGTTGATAGTTTTAGCTGATTGTAGAAAAATGTTTGGTAAATTGAATGTTAGCTGATAGATGATTACATGCAAAATGACTTTCTCAAAAAGCTAATCGAAAAAACCACTTTGAACAATTTTTTGAATTTTAGAGTTTTGGAGCAATAAACTATTACAAAAAACTAATTAATTAAACACTTATATTGCCTGTTTAACCACATCAAACAACTAATAGTGGTCAAATAAACTAAAATGGACTGATAAGCTAACTATGTTATCAAACAGAGCCAGTAATGGATGAATAGGGAGGTGTGTTATTGTGTTAAGTGTCTGACTATTTGGGAGTACTTGCATATAGCTTGTTTGTGTGTAATAACTCACAAACTATACATAAAAGGTAAATCGATTAACAAATTGTAGTGTTAATAATTGATTGAAGAGCCAATACTACCCCCACTGAGGATAAAGTCCATACCTCTCATTTGGAAAATTTAATTCTTGCCACCAGACCACAAGGTCATGTACAATTACTGGGATATTTAAATGAGTCAATAGTTACATATTCTTTGCCCTATTCATGGACAAAAATGTTGCTTTGCATGTGACTTTCTCATTGACTATTTTAGCCATGCATTTGTCTTCTTGCATTAATGACTAGTTATATTCAAGTTGAATCATTCAACACGTACTATATAATCCAATCACAAAAAAAGTCCTTAAAACTACAATTTTCAAAAGAGTTATAGTATATAAACTCCCAAATCATATTTTCTAAATTTTACTCTCTGGCGGACACTGATAGGCTATATTTTTCATGTGAGTCCCAATACAAGTGTTTACATCAAGATTTTGTATGTAAAAATAAAAATTGGGAGTAAAAAATGGGAATACATGTAATATTTTCCTTTTCAAAATACGGAGTAAGTGGTTGGTCCAGTAGTACAGTAATCCCCTCAACTTACACATATATTTTGATGAAGACTTTTAGAAATTTACTAATAATTTTTTAAAATAATATTAAGTTAATTTCTAGCAATTAATAGTATCTAGCCATGGCCCTGTTTGGTAACATAGTTAATTTATCAATGAATTTTGACTAATTTGACTACTATTAGTTGTTTGACTTGGTTAAACAATCAATATGAATGTTTAATTAATTAACTTTTTGTCATAGCTTATTGCTCTAAATTGCTAAAATTCAAAAAGCTGTTCAAAGTAACTTTTTCGTTAAGATTTTTGACAAAGTCATTTTGCATATATAATCAACTATAAGCTAATAGATAATTTACTAAATACTTTTTTACAATCAACTTATATTATCAACTACTAAAACCCACTAATCCAATAAAATAACATCTATATATTTACCAAACATTGCACCCCGTTAATTTTAATTTGAAATCATGTTGCTCCATATATATGTGTAGGTGGGCGCAAAGGATTTAGCAACGTTGTCTGGAAGGTTAAGACGCACAAGGAAAGTTACATCACCTTCACTTACCACAGCCCAGATGGTGACCAAGGTGATATATATATAATTTTAATTATTTAATTAATTTATACCTTTGTATATCAAAAGTTTAATTACATCAAGAAATTAATTAACATGGGACTTTAATAATATAATGTAGGATTTCCCGGAGATGTTATTGCCCAAGTAACATACACTATAAAGGAAAACCCATACAAACTGATAGTGAAAATGCATGCAAAAGCTCTGAACAAGCCAACACCAGTCAACCTAGCACAGCACAACTACTGGAACCTCGGAGGCCACGACAGCGGCGATATATTGTCGGAAAAGCTTCAGATATTCGCGTCCCATATCACCCCCGTCGACGCCAACCTCATCCCCACCGGCCAAATCCTCCCCATCAACAACACGGCTTTCGATTTTCTCAGCCCGCGCCAAGTGGGGACCCAAATGGCTAAACTGCCCGAGGGGTCGCGCGGGTTTGACAACAATTACGTACTCGACGGGGCGGGGAAGAAGAGGAAGATGGTGGCGAAGGTGTACGATGAGAGGAGCGGGATAGGGATGGAGGTGGCGGCCACGGCGCCGGGGGTGCAGTTATATACGGCGAATCACTTGCGGGGCGTGAAGGGGAAAGGCGGGGCGGTTTATGAGTCGCATGGGGCGTTGTGTTTGGAGACTCAGGGGTTCCCGGATGCTGTGAATCACCCCAATTTCCCGTCCACCATTGTTACTCCACACCAGCCCTACAGGCATACATTGCACGTTACTTTGAGAGTCCACAAGTTTAAGGGGGCTTGAATTATCTGGCTCGATCTGATCCAAGACTTTCTATGATTTATTTCATGCATCCCCACTGTTTGGGTGGGCTCGTATTAATAAAATAAAATCAATAAAATTTGCGGTTTCGTACGTGCTCGGAGAGTCGTAACGATCAATTTCGTGTGATACTTCTGAGCAACATCAAAAGGTTTATGAAGGTGATCTTATTGAATTGTAAAAGTAAATGTGTCATTGAACTTAATCATGCATAGTAAATTGATCATGATTTGAGATTGTACATTGCTGATTCAATTGTGTTAACAACCTCCTATCTCATCTAACTTTATTGCAATTTACTTCACAATTGTCTTTAGTTTTTTGCATGTTTATTATTATTTTTTTCTTTTTCTCTTAAAAATTGCATACTGAACTATTGAGTTAAGCCATTGGAGACTTTTCGCATGTTTATTAATAGTATTAGGACTACAATCTGATGGATTTAATTAACTCGGGTAGCCCGAATTACTAAACCCGATAATAAAGGATAAACATTAAAACAGGAAAAGACAAAGAATATATGTCGTGGAGATAATTTTTGTGTTGATAATTGTTCGTAAGAGAATTACAAAGAAAATGTAATATTAAGACAAGATGTGGTGGTCCTAAACAAGACAAGAACGAGCTATTTTATACAAGCTAGCACCCAATCGCCCCATGAGAATAGGGTGAGCGGTTGGATTACGGTTTGACTGAGTCTGCGTGCACACGCCCAGGGCCTGGGAAACCTCTACCGAAGCTGCCCTCCACTACAAGCCCCTGGGTCTTGGCTGCTCCTAGCTGAGGCCGACTCCAACCGGGGTCGACCTTGGCCGAGGCCGAAGTCGACCCTGCTGGGGCCGTGGTAGACAATATAAGCTTGGATTTGAATTTTCAAAACTAATTAATATACTTTTATACTTTTCCAAAATACATGTGGAGTTATACTTTTCCTTATATAGAGAATTAATATTTATAAGTGGAGAATTAACAAACCTCATCGAAATCCACTTAGAATCTGGACTAAAACCTATGTGCACATATTCCGGGCTACTGGGTAGTATATGATCTAAGCAGCACCGGCTACCCTTAACAATAATTAGATTCGGGATCATAACATGTGTATGTGATACAAAGTCAAATATAACACTAAAATTTCAAGCCACACTCTTACTCAACACACGGGCTCGACACATCGAAACCCATTCTCGATCTCTCGAGAATCACAATTCACAACATTACAATTTATCGATAAATTCAACTGTGATCACAATAATATTATAATTCACATCATATCTCACATGACTTGCAAAGATAGCTTTGGACATATAATTTTGATATATAATAATATCATATCATAATCACATTCACACATCAAAAAAATATTTATATACATTTTGGGGTAAATAATAAGTTTTGGTGAACATAAATACTTACCTCGAAGCCAAACTTCTTATCAACCTAAATAACATTCTAACCACCTTGATAAGGAACCTGTGAATCAATCAATCAAATCCAATTTTTATTACTAAGAGCATCCACACTAGCACATATTTGTGAGTTTTTGGAATAGTCAAAAACTAGGATGATAGTTTTTTCATTGATGGGAAGGCTGTTTTTTTTTTTTTTTTTTTTTTTTTTTTTTTTTTTTTTTTAGAGATATTTATCCTGCAAAGTATGTATATTTGTGTGCCCAGAAGGTAAGAGAAAAGGAAAAGATGCGTGTAGATGGCATGTAGCTCGCCAAGTGGAATTTTGCTGTCATCTTTTAACTTTTTTTTTTACTCTTTTTCTTTTTCTCTTATTTTATTGCCATGCTTTCTCTTTCTTATATGTCACTTAAAAAATCGTGAAATAAACACAACTGATATTGATGTTCTAATACTGAATATTATTATCAAAATAATCAACATCATCATCATCCTCTAACCATTACACTTATCATAAACAAAATCATTATCAACAAGATTCATCATCATCTCGCCATTTTCATCATCAAATTCAAATCTCCTCATCGTCACTATAATCCTAATTAAAAAATCATCCTATCATTTCTCCAAAATTTTGGCGGATCACTTTGACGTTTTGACCATGGTCAAAACGCCAAAGTCATTGTTTGGTTAACAGCGGTTTGTTCCAAACCGCTGAAGTTCAACACGCTGCATCATTTTGGAGAAGGAAATTTCCTTTCCCAAAACGCCCTCCAATTTATTAAAAAAAAAAAAATTACATTGTTCATTGTGAATCTTTAAATAAAGAAGGCTTCACTATTCTTGCCCATCCGATATGGGATGGGCAAGGTGAAACATTGAAATTGAAGGGGCGTTGAGCTCCCTTTTATAAGGGAGCCAACGCCCCCTTTTTTTTATTTAACTTTTCGATGTGGGATCTAATCCCACATCTTTTTTTTTTTTTTTTTGGTTATTATTATTACTAGTATTTTCACCCGTGCGATGCACGGAATGGAATTGTTGTAATATATTAAGAATATTCAAATCGATATATAATTATTTAAGAGTTAATTTCACCAGAGGTCGCTTATCTTTCCTAACAATTCCAAATTTAATCCTAGACTATAGTTATTAATTATTACGATTTATTCTATGTTATAATTCTTACGTTAATATTCTTACTATTATTATTAACATTTAATTACTTTTAGATATTATTATTACCACTTATATTATTATTAGTTTCTTTTCAAATATTGTTAGTATATAATGACCGTGAGTCACAATAATAATATAACCATAATTAAATATTCGTGTATTGTATTCCGTGAGTCACAATAATAATACAACAATAATTAAATATTCTTCAATTCTATATTCTTCTAGGATTTATATTACCATAATTAATTATTCCCTAATTTACCATAATTAAATAATTTGACCAATTATAAAGAAAGATTATTAAATAATGCACGGGACAATTTTTTAATTAAAATTTTTAAAAATTCATTAATAAAACATAAGGTTCTGATAGTTTTTTCTTAGAAACTATTTAATAAAGTATTTTTTTTTTTAGAAATTGGTGGGCCAAACCACCTACGGCTGTTTGCGGTGGATAGATCTCGAAAAAATACGCGATTTCAGAAAAACAATTGTCCAAAACAGACAACCGAGTCAAAAGTTATGCCTTGCCGAACTTTTGATACTTTACAACTTTAAAAAAAAAAAAAAAAAAAAAAATTAAACGCCGGTTCAGCCGGCGAGGCGGCCGATTCCTAGGAGGAGAAAGTAGAAATCAATATATTTTATTAGGAGGAGAGATTTTTTAGGAATTGAGCGGGAAATTAAAATTTCAGGATTTTGTTTTTATATATAGCCTAGGAATGAGCTATTACCTTTGCAAGGGGAATAACCATTCCTAGGGAGCCTTAGTATTAGCTATTCTCATGCCCTTGGGAATAACTTTTATATCACAAATACCAAAAATACCCTTTGCACATTATATAATATTTACATTTATTTAATAAATATAATGTATTATATAAATGTATATCTTTAATTAATTATAATTTGTATCCATCAATCTATCAATATATATATATATATATATATATATATATATATATATATATATATATAAATTATTTGTGTGAACCAAACATGTCGTAACAGTGGGGTTTAAGAGAGGTTTATGCATAGTGAAGGAGGGAAAATAGTTGGGTAGTTTATTACTCCCTAGTAACTACAGCCAAAAGCTTAAAGGAGAAGACAAAATAAAAATAAAAATTCCTGGAATACACGGACGGAAATTTTAACATGGATTAAAATTAGAACACTTTTAATAATCATAGTCTCAATGTAGCAAAATTAATTAAGATGAACAAAAATTGAAAATGACCCTCTAACAATAGGACTAAAAATAGAATTCATCCTATATATAATCAGCTATTGCAATATAATAATAATAAATTCTAATACTTATTGCCTGAAATTAATTAAATATTTCTGTTTTCGAAATTTAAGAACAATTTTTGTAATCCATCTCTTAACAAATCAATTTTTTTTTTCTGGAATAAGATCAAATTAATAAATAGGAAAAGCTAAATCAAAAGGAGTAACTAGATTACATTCTAAATAGGGTCATATCATTAATGATAGTTCTGATAGTCAATGAATTAAAAATATGAAAAATTTTGGTAACCTTTTAAATACATATTAATATATGATTGGATTAAGATTTGTATCAATTAATAAAGAAGGTTGTTTCCTTAATAAAAGTTAAAAAACAAAATATGTAGACAAAGGTGAAAATTTTGGGATTTGGGATTGGAGGGTCAGTAACGGAAAAGTTTACTGGAATCCTAATATGGTAGAGTTTATAAAAGTTAATAAAATTTTGAATACTACTAGATTTTTAAAAACTTTTTAAAAGTCTGAATCGAATACCGGTTGACTTTTAAAGAGTCTTTAAAAATTGAGATCGAATACAACTAAAATTTTAAAGTCGTTAATAGTCTTAAAAAGTTTATAAAATTTTTGATTGAATACACCCCCTTAGTCCTGATGAAATAAACTATAAATTGAATACACCCCCTTAGTCCTGATGAAATAAACTATTTCAAATTTTGCAACTGCATAGGTTGTTGTTTTAGTAATTCACTCTATATGCCATGAAGTAAAACATGCACTTGAAGCTACAATACTAATAAAAGAATATATAATACACCATGCTTTTAAAGTATAAATTTATTTAACATATGATACATAACATGAGTATCACTATAATTATTGTAACATAAGTGTCTTTAATGATAAAGGTAAGGAAAATTATGAAAAATAACACACTAAGCTAATTACATATTTTGTGTATACTTCCAAAACATGAAAACCTATCTAATCCTCATTGCTAGTTGAAGAATCACTAACATTAGGAAGTTCCGTCCATACAGAATGAACTATTTCAGTTGTATTATAATTGCCCTTACTTGAAAAGCTCTGTGGAAAATTGCGCCATTGTTTTATGGATAAACAATAAAACAATCCTTTGTTATCATAGAATCTTGGAAAATAGATCTTGTTATCAACTCCTTGTGCCATTACTTTTCGTGCGAAAGATGCCCAATAAGAAACATATAACGCTTTGCCGTTCAAATTATGCACTCTTTGCCACATCATATCACAATCAAGCTTTAGAACATGAACCTCCCCTACATCAAGAGTTGCCACACACATGAGATCCCCATCACTCTCTAGAAGGTATAAATTCTGATATTTCTTAAATTGTCCGTGCGGCTTACCAATAACCTTCCAAGA